GCTATTACAAAATAAGTATCCGGGAGTGGGTTACAAATTTACAAATGGGGATGAGACTTAGGAGTGTAGTGTCCAATAGATTACAACCAAATCGAATCGATCAAATGTAAATGTAACGTATATATAAAATAAGCAAATGTATAATGTATCAAATGCAAGTATATTGTGTAAGTGTATGTGTATATGTGTATGTAATTATTTACAGGTTAAGAAAATGTGAATTTGAATGTATTATTAAGCATTGTTAACCTAATGGAAAAATTAAATGTTTATTTAATTAATCTTTTGTAATCTTGTATTTTCTTTGATATGTACAAATATTTATTTACTAAAAGAAAAGAAAGATGTTTTAATCTTAATTAAATTATGTATATATTAAAAAAGTATTTTGTCTTGATTATATACAAAAAAAGTATTTTTAGAAATAAAAGAAAAGTAGTATCTTAAGAAAAAAATCAATATTCAAAAAGAAAATGTAAGTTTAATAGTAAAGAAAAAATATTAGTTTCTATATAAAATTTAATTATAATATACATGTGAAAAAAGTATTATTAATGTAAAAAATTGTTATGTTAATTTATTTAACAAAAGAAAAAGGTTTTATATGCTAAAAAATAAAGAAAAAGGAAGCCAATGGGTACTAAATGAATGGGCCAAAGGTTTGCTGGCCCAAACAGAATGTCCAGCGTGGGGTGTGAATTGGAAACGTGTGGGCTCAGGCGCAGGAAGGGCAAGGCCCAAGCACATCCATAATTTGTTTTAGGGTAAACATTATTTGTTTAGTTTGGCTGAGAAAGGGATTAGGGATTTGGACAGAAGCGGCGCTTGCTTGCTTGTCTTCTTCGTTCGCGTTCTTCTTCGCCTTTCATGCTCGCTTCTGAGTTCTTCGCCCGTTTGTCCATGGCCACCGATACCTCCATCTTCTTCTTCCCTCCAACAACGCTTTGGGGCGACAAATTTAAGGTGATTTCATCTTTTTTATTTCGTTAGTTTTCGTTACTGCATGTTGTGACTTTACATCTTTTTGATTCTTATTCACATTGTTATGTTTATTGGAGGTATTATGAAAGTAAAAGAGGAGGAGGAAAGGTTACCTGGAGACGGAGGAGGGAGGTTGGGGGCGAGCGGGGAAGATAGTGACGCTGCTTCAGTTGCCTGGTATTTCGTTCTTATTTTTTTTTGGTTTGATGATGAATAACGTTGAAAACCTCTGTGCAATTTCTCTTCTTCTTGCTTACTGTTGACCTTGGCTTTTCTACTTCTCTTTGACTGTATACCTTGTGATGCCTTTTTCTTCTTCTTCTTGCTTGTTGCCTTGAACGTTATATTGCCTTGGGTGCTATTGTAGGAATGCTATTGTTTTGATTAGCTTGCCCTCTCCTTCTTTCTGTGATTCTGTTGCCTTGAAATTTGCCTATGATGATAAATCTGAGGTTTGGTAGGTTTGGACGTTGATTGGATAAGCTGTATGGTTCTGGTTTTTGCTTTGGTTGGATTGGTTCAGATTTGGCCTAGCTTGGTTTCAACAGGTTTGAGGTTGATGGTGTTCATGGCTGGGCAATAAGTTTGACAGGTTTTGGGTATACTGGTTTCTTGGTTTATCAGATTGAATAGGTTTTATGGGTTTTAGTGGTTTTACGCAGGTTTAGGCCATGGTGTGATGGTTTATGCAGATAGCAGGTTTTATGGTTTGAGACTGTAGGTTCTTGGACAGTTTTTGGTTTTCAGTTTTTGTTTCTAAGGATTCAGGCAGGTTGAACTGTGGTGAACTTGTTTTTGTTGTTTTTGTTTTAAGGGTTTACAGGTTTGTGCTGGCTTTAGCAGGTTTTCACTGGTTTATGGTTTGGTGAGGTTTATGCAGTTTTGTATATTTTTTGTGGTGTATTTGTTTGCCTCCTCCTTACTGTACTGTGTTCAGTTTTTTTTTATATATTCTTCATGCCTCAAGCCTAAGCCTGCTTTCTTTTTTCTCTTCTTCTTCTCTCTCCAGTACAGTTTGCATTAAAATAATGTTTGCATTGTACTTTATCTGAAAGGGCCACTTTTTGGGAAATGATGAAAAGAAAATATGTTGCTTGCATATCATGCTTTTCTCTGCATTTTTTATCTCTTCTTTTGACAGCTTCTTGTACTTTTTGTATCTTTTGATATCCTTCCAAATCTTCCTTTTTGACAGCTTTGGTAGCCTTGTACAGTTTGACAGAAAGTTTGAATTTGGACTTTGTAGTTTGGACTTTGTAGTTTGATTTGCAACATGCTGTTTGAGATTTGAACTTATGCAGTTTGGACAATTTGACTTGTGCATTTTTAAATTTGTGCATTCAAAGTTTTAGCAAATAAATATTCGTCCCTCTTTGTGAACCGGGAGAAATCCCGTGATTTGCAGAGAGGGCTAACTGATCCCAATCAGTGGCCCTTAATGATGAACTGTAATTTGTCTCTTTTTTTATTTATCTGCTATTGACTTTTCTCCTTCTCTTTTGCAGATAAAAAATTGAATGGAGAGGGGTGTCACTAAATGAAGAATGAAGAATTGGAGATTTAGGAATACTTAGAAAAAATAGAATAGTTTTATTTTCAATTTAATCATTGTAACTATTATTATTATAAATACCTCGTAAATGAATACTTGTATCTAAATAATAATTGTAACCAATATTTAAAGATGAAATAAAAAAATTCTTTTAATCCAGTTAATTATTTTTATCCCTTTTTTCAATTATTTATTTATTATTTATAGTTCTTTAAATTAAAATAACTGAAAATTAAATTCCAGCTATTTAATCTTTAGAATAATAAATAATTAACTAAACATTGATTCTGCGTTGATCAAAATAATAAACTTGGCGCTTCCAACATCCAAAGCAAAGCACAGTCAAACACAATAACTGATCAGTCGCATTCCCCTTCTTACTGATTTTTTTACCAAACACTGCAAATCCAAACTGAATGTATCCTTTGACTGATTCAATCAAACAAACGTGAATTCAATCCAAATGCATTCTTTTACTGATTAAGTCAAACAATGCGAAGTCAAACCAAATCTTGGAATAACTTGCAAAGCACCGTAGAATTAAATCTTTCTGAAGAACCGCGCATGAAAACCCTAATTCCTGATTAAATGCCAAAGAACGTTCGCCTGATCAAAGTTGAGCCAAAATCAACCAAAACCCTAAGCAAACTGTGTGAACTGTTCTAAACCCCTCAAAACCAGAGAAAACCCTAATTTTGTCTGACTGACGAGAAAAGTCTATTTGACTGATTCTTGAGCCAGTTTGAAAAATCAAGAAACACCTGAAGCTGTGATTTCTTGAGGAAAAATGCGAGGGCAAATTTTGGGGTACAACAATGAGTAACTGAGGACAAGGGAGAGGGATATGGAATGGATGAAGTAATGAAAGACGAAATCATTGCTAGTAGTAACGACTTGTCACGATCCATTGGTTCATATAAAATCCATGTCCTAGGTGTATCAAAAAACATTCTTTTCGCTAAGCGTATATAATAAAATAGAGTGAAAGGTCCACCCCAAAAGGGGGTACTAACTAACAGCTGAGTCCTCTCCGAACCGCAGGAGATAGTTGCCCATCATACGGCTCACCAACTTCACTTGCCTCTATGGGAGACTCGCTCCGGGAAGGTTCGGATTACAATACACGGCTCTACGAAGGAAAGGGTTGGTGGGTTGGGAACGTTTTCAATATTATTATTTTTCCGCGATGATAAATGCAAGACGAAAAAGGAACCCATCTTTTCGACTGGGAAATGCGAGTCTGTTTTGTCCACTTTCTCCATCCCTCTCTATCAAAATGATAAAAAAGGAAGGCGAGCTTGCTTCTTATTCTCGTGTTCAATCTCTTCCATCTCTGCCCCGCTCGTTGTCACCTATGTTGAAGAAAGGTTTGGAACCCTGTAGAGAATGAGGAGGGGCCAAAGATCTTCCTCTCAACAGTGCTTCTCGGGGCTCCACTCTCCCCCCCCCCTTAATAAGTAAGGCCCCGTTAGCCTGGGCGAGGGGATAGGGAATAAGGATGGAATCCCCCTTCACTCTGCCAGGGACTGGACAGGGGTTAGCTCTGTAAATGTGTAGAGCCGAGTGTAGTGTGGTGTAGTAGTTGGCACTTCTAGGCCCCTTCCCGGCTACTGGACCACTCCAGTTCTTTGGGTACTACGGACCCTCTGCCATCCATTGCAGCAGAGCCGTTTCATGAGCGCGGGGCTAAGCGCAGTTATTTGAATCAAACGTTGAATGAAATCGATTCTTTTTTAGATATCAAAAGAAAAATCGGATAGGATAGATGGATGGATCTATCTTTCTATTAATATATATATATATATATATATATATATATATATATATATATATATATATATATATATATATATATATATATATATATATATGACTAAAAAAAGGATTTATTTAAGTAGCGTAGCAAGAAGCCCCCAATCCTTTATTTGGCCAGGAAAGACTGCACTGCTTTGGGCCCTGGAAGCGAAGGGAATGAGCTCGGCTGCTTATCCTCCACACTTATTTTTTATCTCCGTGCCCTTTTCGCATGCGCTTCGCGCGCCATTGGCGCTTTGCTCTCCTCTTATTCTTCATTGAACGGTTCGGATGGACTTCGCCGTTCTTTCCCAACAAAAATAGAAAAGGCTGTATCACATCGAGATGTCGATTCGTTTTCCGCCCCCAATGAGATGGGGAATTTGTAACCCCCTATTTTTACTTTTGTTTGGACCCTTCATCTTTCTGAATGGAGGCCCAACTCGTGTCGTTCCAACAACCGACGGGGAGCACCTCAGTATACGATCGCGCACAGTAACTGGGAGTCCTTTTTTTTTACACCTAAGGCAAACTTTAATTCAGCAAACCAAGGTTCATCTCGTGTAGTGATTGTGGACTCGTACAAGGATATTGAGTAGACGGTTGATGTTTCAGACTCGACCCTATCTTTCGTAGCATGCATTCCCATCAGTGTCGCAACTGATTCGGTAAGCTATGTGTCCGGTGCACGGAGAACTGCCTTCGGTCCCCCAAACTGACTGACTCGTGGCAACCTTCCGGCCGCCCAACAACCTATAACGCTAGTCACTACTCCCACTGGGGCTAGAGTGCCCAAATCTGCTATATATTTGACACGGGTTTGCCGTAATGCTAAAACTATGGCCAATGCATCTATCGTCATTAATGCATAAATAAAGATACCAATTAGTAGTGATTGAATTCCTTCTATGGTTCCACAGGAGAACCCAGTACGAATATAACCTACATGTCCAATTGAACTATGAGCTAGAGGTCTTTTTACTTTCGTTTGGGCCATGGCGGCCAGTGCTCCTAAAATCATAGAAGCAATGCTGCATAAACAGAAGATTTGTTGCAATGTAGCTCCATAGGAACCATAAATAGAAACACGTGAAATATTAGCAAAAATAGAAATTTTAGGCGCAATAGAAAGGAATGTTGTAACCGGGGTGGGTGAACCCTCATAGATATCAGGTGCCCACATATATAGAGTCAAAAGAGATATGGAGTCCAAAGGGGAGGGGGGTTTTATTCGGGGCTTGAGAGATGGAATAGATAGGGCCAAAAAAGTGTTGAATTCGCCGCTGGGGAATTAACACGAAAGGGAACGAAGAATTCTCGACGAAAAAAAAAGTGCTCTCTGAACCGAATGTGAAAGTAGTTTTCCATCAGACGGCTGTTCCCATAACTCCACTCTCCACTTGGATTATATATCCAAAAAGGTCCGCTCTTGGCCATTCCACACGCTGCCTAGCAAAGGCGTGGTTATCTCAAGTGGATTCTCTCTTTTTTAGTAGATGCTGAACCTGCTGCCCTATTGACTAAGAAGGGGGCAGACGCACTACATGGACCCCTTCCTTTCTGTTGTTGCCAGCGCTTTCCCGGGCCGAGATATAAAGGGCAGGCAACGAAGGCTGCTATCCCAATAGGCCTGCAGGCGGAACAAGGAGAGGGCCCGACAATCAAATCATACCACCGCGGTCGAAAAAGCGTGTTCCCTTCAGATAACAAGCACCGTAGGCCATCCTCGGCCTTCTTCGTTTTTGATGAAAAATAAAAAAAATATCGATCTCCGAAAGCGTTTTCCTTCCCCCGCCGCATCTCCCTCCCTTCGTCGAGCCTTGACTTTAATGGTTGGGGGAAGCATTCCCTTATCTGAACTTGGCGGGCATTCTTTCCAGCCTTATTCAAATGGGGGGTGGGTTTGGTTGGTTTGAACATAGGCTAGGCTAGGCTCAAACATTATTTTCAGATCCTAGCTACGCCATACGTTCAATACATAATCTGGAAAGCTGCAGGGATGACAAAAAGAGGGCGCTTTCCTGTGTTGCACTGGAAAAAAAGAAACCTAACTAAGTAAGAGAGAGAGAAGATGGATCCTATCCCCTATATCGAACACTAAATCCTATCTATTGATAGAAAGATCTTCGTCAAATACCGGACTTTGCCTTTAGGAATTCCTCAGACTCATATCCAAGGCAGCTTACCACAAGCACCCCACCCCATACGACTAGTTGGGGTTCGCCTTTTTAATCAAACAAAGTCAGTATAAGTAGTAGGGGCTTCATAGCTACTTTCATTCTAAAGGAAACCGAAGAACCAACCTTTAGTCAATAGGAGCCCTACTTCCCTCTTTGCGACCTCATCACTTCAAAGCGCAAACCCATTTCTTTCTGAGTCACCGGGTGGAGCGCACCTTTGGTACTTCAGTAGGGCGAGCTTTTTGATAGTTACTTCTTTTGTTTGGTAGGGCGACGAAAGAAAGGCTACTTCAATCTAGGAAACTCGATAGGGTCGCCTTTGAAAGCGTTTGCCGGTAACCAAAGCGTCACTCCTTCCTTTTGTTTTATTATGTCGTGACGCTGACTGAATCCAATCCATAAACCCGGAAACGAAACTAAGTTCGTTCCCTTTCGTCAAGTAGGTAAAGTAGGCATACAAACCCACCCACTTTTTCTTTGCCTTAGACTATATTGGAACAAAGCAAAGAAGGAGGGGGAATGGAGAAAGGACAAGGGCGGTCTTGCTTGGCGCAAAGGCTGCTGGTTCGGGGGTAGGGTACGGTACTAAAGGTCCTCGGACTTCCAGGCGATTTTTCTTTTGGACAGCTGTTCACCGTTGGATCTCGCCAATACAGCCCCCTATTGTTTTCGTTACCGAGATATCTTTTTTTAAATTGTTCCCAGGGATTTTTGGGGGAATCCGCTCCCATGCTGCAAACAGTCAAATCTAAACTAAACCTTGTCGCTCTTCTTTCCTCGCAGGCAGGAAGCACACCAGCAGCGTGCGTTGCTTGATTCAACTGTGTTTTTTGCACTTGACTGGGTGGACAGTTGACCAGAAGATAACTTAGATTCGCCCGGCCAGCTGGCGGGTGGCGTGCTTATCTTGTGTGACAACACTACAGAGCAAGTGGCTCTTCTAGGCGGGTATCTGTGTGACAACACTACAGAGAAAGCGGCGCTTTCATTTAACATGCTATGGTCTCAACACCCTTACGAGATAGTGATGAGTTTCACGCGCTCAAAGCCCGGCCCGCGCGCGGTTAGGAAGATTGGCCGCAATCTGAGCGGTACCACCCAACCTACCCTACCACCTATAGGCGGCCGTCCGTTCTACAGCCGCCCGAAAAGGAACTGCAGTGATCTTGAATAGGGATCCTACAGCGATAGATAGAATCCCCATAAAATACCACTAGATCGAGCACCATTTATTTCGTATCTGATCAAAATCTTGGCTAATTGATCGAAGTGGGTAGCTCCAGTAGACCCATAGATCATTGAACAAATAGGGTGGGTAGGCCCAACCACCACACTATACGTATAGACGCGAACCCCCCTCGTTACCGTACGTGCGACTCTCACCGCATACGGCTCGCACAAAGACTCCTAAATACATCCCGAGCCTTTTCTTCCACCTCTCCTATCCAATCCTCGATCAAACTAGCGTTCCCCAGGCGCTATGAAATGTGGGTCTTTCCTTCGCCTATCGTATGTATCGGCTTGGCTTCGTCCAGAACCAAGGAGGCATTCTGGAGGGCGCGTGCGTGTAGGAAGGCTGACCACTACGCTAAAAGACTACGACAACTACAACGGAAGCGATTCGCTTCTATTCTCGTTGGGATTTTTTATCTCTGGGGAATCTATAGATCATAGTAGTTCGCCAACCTCTCTAACTAACATACGATACAATTTAACTTCACGGCACGGCAAAAAAGAAAGAGCTTCGCTCGGTGGGCCTTCCTGCCCTGACGAATGCCTCCTTTCTCTTCTCTGAAGTCTACAACAAACAAGTGGGAGAGGCAGGATTCGAACCTACGTAGAAAAACTTCAACAGATTTACAGTCTGTCGCTTTTGACCACTCGGACACTCTCCCCTTCCCGGGCCGAGGCCCTGGTTCTAAGAAGGAGGGAAAAAAACCTGAAATAAAGCTTATTTGGGGAACTAATACTATTTTTTAGCTTAGCTAGCGTTCCGCTAGTCATTTAGTCAGTTCATAACAATCTCTGTACAAAGGGCAAAGCTTATACGATAGCTCCCCCCTAGTAGCTTCTGGCGAAGCTGCGAGTTTATGAGCAAGTTAATGAATGAACGAGCCATGTTCCTCAACTAAAAAAGGGAGTAAGAAATAGAAAAAAAACACAATAAACTTCCCACTTTTGATGTCCCACGATTCTGCTAGTTTAGAAACTCAGGGGAGGGACAAGGGTCGCTAGGTCAGAAAAGCGACAACTAAAAATTCTCCCCAAGTAGGATTTGAACCTACGACCAGTCAGTTAACAGCCGACCGCTCTACCACTGAGCTACTGAGGAACAACAGACTTAAGTTAAGGAAGCCGACTCTCGTTCTTTGGACACCAACCTATGACCGAACAAAAAAAGGTTCGTCACTCTTTTTCACATACACCGGGAGAAAAGGTTACGATAGCAAGCCCCTCCTCGGCCGGAGAGCCTCCAGGACAAGGGGGCGGCGGTCAACCATCCACTCTCGAGATTCATATTGATTAATCGATCTCCGCGTCCTTCCAGTTCGCTAAGTAGACTCACTCTCCCGAGGGGCAACAATTGAACTATTCCTGCCAAAAACAAGGGACCTACTTATCATCCTAGGAGTTAGCTGGTATGATTGCCTCTCTGTCTGTCTCTCCGAGTTTATACTACTAAGTAGCACTTCTGCTATTCAATCATAGAATAGATTCCTATCAAGCTGAAAGATGAAAGAAAAAAGCCCTATATTATTGACATTTTAGTAAGCTAGCGCCCTGCAATCAAAAAACAGCGCTAACGAGCAAGAAAAGGCCCCTTACTATAGTATAGATAGGCTAAGGTTTGAAGACGCTCGACCCAAACAAGCAACGGCAAGCCCCTATCATAGAAAGCCTTGGTTAAGCGCGCTAGCGCGCTTGACTTGGAGGTTCGCGCATCCTCTTGCTGGGAGAACTTTCTCAAAGTAAACTTTCTCGCTTGTTAGTCAAGCTTTGAAGCCCCTACTTTATTGATGGTTGGGATATTGAAAGAAGCGCTGGTTTGGAAAGGAACCCTAGACAAGGGGCTTTTCCCCAACCTATATATACAAGGTGCTGGTCTCGATCTCGCTTGGCGGTGCCCCTCTCGATGATTGTTGACTCAACATTTATTTCGTGCTTGAGTTGGAGGGACCTCCCTCCATCGAGTCAAGTAATTCGCTATCGGAAATTTAGCCGCCGCGTATCTCATGCCATGCTTCTTGTTTCTCCGAATTGGTTCCGTCTGTCAGTCAATCAAGATTCGCCATCAAGAGAGGGAAGAGCCTTGACTTTCGGTTAGGCCGGTCTCGTCATTCATGCAATTCCCCCGTCCATCGATCGATCACGCGAGCATCCAGTCGGCACATAGTGAACAAAAAGTTCATCCTGGATTATCTTCCTAAATAAAAATGTCTATCAATTGATACCTATTCATTCGGTCAAAGTCTCCACGGCGTTTTCACGCCCCTCTACTTAGAGGTGCACCATGTTGATAGGAATCGGCAAAGACCTTCTTGTACACGTCCTAGAGGGCTGCATTCATGGCAATCATCACTAGTTTATCCCGAGGGCATGGTATGGCTTTGTTCTTGGTGTTGTTTAATAGAATAGATGTCGAGTGCCGCTTTTCCCCGTCCAAGAATCTCCATCTGCTCTAACTGGGCGAGCTATAATCCTTATGTCAGGTTGGTTGTTCAAAAGATATTTTATCTTTACCCTTCATCTTTTCGAAAGCCTAGACCCATTCTTCTGGATCTTTATTAGTCCTAGGTGCAAAGCCTCTTCAAGAAAGACCTCTTTCTTTCTCCTCCATTTATCATTTTTTTAGAGGATAAGCGTTATCCATTGAGTAAAGGGAGGCTTTCCTACACTACAGTGATTCGGGCGGTTGGTGGCCCCCTCGAGAGTTGCGGGTCCTTTCCGCTGCATGAGTGGTAGCTCACGCTCAAAACTCCTCTGACACGAGTCCTAGTCGTTGCGCTGCGGTCCGTTTCCCGGCTTCGCTTGTGCAATTTTTTGCACTTATTTTATTATTTGTTTAATCCATCCCCGACCCTAATGAATCGAGTATGTATGAAGGGGTCAGTCAAGCGGTTCGGGTTCTCGGTCGGTTCCCGTTCGCCTGCCCCCCCTCATAGTCCATTAGTGGGTAGGGTGGTCAACTTAAAGGGCGCCCGCCTCCTCTTCAGACGTGTCTTCGACAACCTGGCGGTTGTTCGGTCTCCGCTTTTGGAGACGGGAGTGCTTGGTCGCTGGGGTTTCCTTTTCCTCAACCAATTCGGTTGTGTCAGCCCTGAGATTGGTTGGTATAACATTTATGAGCAGGTTGGCTGGACAAAGATTGATGGAAGGTAAGATAGATTTGAGTTCAAGTGGCACAGGACCTTCGATCGACCATGGGGCATATTCTACCCTTACCGAATTCATTATATTGAAGCGTAATGTAAAACTTCTCATGTTGCATTTATTTGGTTTGGAAGTTCCAGAATGTTGTCTGTGGATTTATAACAAAGGAAAGCCCCCCTTTTATTTATGCCATTTGATTAATGAAAGTTCCGTGCTGATCGCCACTCCCCGAGGCCAAGGACGGGGTCGAACCGTCATTCCAGGATTTGCAGTCCGATACATTTCCATTATGTTACCCAGCCAAACCCGCCACCTCGTGTGCCAAAGTCAAACGGTTGTTCTTCCTTCCCCGCTCCCTTTTTTTATACATATGCGGTGGCGGGCGGAGCACTCGATATGACCGGCGACGGGTTACCAGAGAAGAGGGGACAACTTATTTCTCCCTTGCCTTGCTCCATTTTCCTTTTCTAATTTTTAGTAGCAAGCCACTCCACTACTGGTACAAAGGCCTGAAGTTTGCTTCCTCCATATGTTAAGGCAAATAACATCTAGAAGCTAGCTTTTGTCTTGTAAGCTACCATGCCTAATAATAATAATATAATAAAATTTAGCTTACCAAAGCAAAGTGGTATTACTAAAAAAAACTAAATAAGCAACCAGTTCCGTTCCAAGTGACATGGCTTTTCACTATTCCTTATTCCTTTCCAGAGAAGCCCATCCAGCCCAGCGGATCCATTGTTTATGCGGCAGTGCGATGCTGCTTAAAAACGTAAGCCCTTAGGTATAGTTTAGGGAAAACTCCAAACAAAAAAGGGCCTTATTCTTCCTTATATTAAATATAAGTTTTAGAAAGGGGCATCCCTACCCCCTAAATTACAAGCTAGCGCGCAACGGCTTTTCAGTCGTTGTTGCTTTTTTTTTTGCTGGCTCGAAAATATATCTTTCGCCTCTCCTCCCTGTCTCCATTCTGGTTGATTCTCTTCTTCCTTCGTGCAAGCGCTTGGTTCGCCCCTTTTGTGTTGCATTTTTTGGTGATCCCCCGCTTCAGTTTGCGTTTTTCGGATAGACGGGATCCGACGTTGATTTCCTATTTATTTAAATGTCAGCTCCATGTTTTGGGCGGCCCATCTGGTTAGTTAAGCTATCACTGCTGGAAGCCCCTGCGGTTGTTCGGCTGCGTACTCCCCGTTTGCGTATCTCACACTCCCAAAGCATCTTTCTTTTTTCATATTTCTGCCGGTCGGCTTCGTGCAGATAGATGTTTGCCGGGGGAGATTGGTGCTCCTGAGGTATGCCCTTTTGGTGGGTTGTTATATTTTCTGTCTATTCCATCCAGTGCCCGCACTACGTCATAAAATCTTCGTCTTCGATCTCTCTTCGCAACGCAATAAATAAGTCTAACAGTTTCTCTCGGCATCTGTCTTTTAAGTCATTGATCTCATATCTATAAGCAGGGGGGTCTCCGTTAACTATTAAGCCTACGCCCGTCCATTCCTTTCAAGCTTTATCCCGCCCGCCCTTAGACTCGTTACGCTTAACGCCCACTTACTTCAAGACTCGTTGGCTCCGCGCTCTATTCGGTCGGAACCCGGTTTGAGAACCTTCTCTAATAGATTCCTTTCACCAAGTCATCTCCAGCAATCAGCTCTTATCCCTTGGTGTGGTGTCAAAGGGCGAGTTCCTTTCTTGTCTTGCCCAAAAACTTGCTTTATTCTCATTGGAGAAAGACTCTCCCGCGACAAGGTTTTACACATAGGGCCAGCTGCTTTCTTTATCTCGCTTGCCGTTAGTCTGTCTAGCGCCTTTCTTTCGGTTGGGGTCCGTCCCGGGGCTTAGACCGCTTGGGTTCTATTTTTATCGAAGGCAGTCAACGTGTCAGCCATTCCTCTCCCATTAGACTTGTAAATCCTTTGCTCTTTTTCTTTCTCTCCCTCTACTTTATTTGACAGGGGCGGATACTACCACTCTATCAATAACAAGAATACAGTAGCAATTCAGTTTCAAATGGTTTGAGCTTGGAAGCAACCTACTATCTATAGGCTAAAACAGACTGCTATTGGCTCCTTTGCCTATCTATTCTATTATGGCAGGCATGGAGACATCAGAGGAAGACCGTCATTTCTATCCGGGTACGATCATAGCTTCATTCATTCGTTAAACCTTGGGGTGGGGATAACCATTAGCATTGAGGTCAATCACCACACCACCCCTATCCTATCATACGACATTACATGATGCGAGAGTGCATGGTCAACACACACCTACCTAAAGCGCCTACGTTCCGCTTGCAGCCAATACAAGCACAACCTAACTTGCACGAGATTCAACAACTGAAACTACAGGTAGTCCCGAGGGGATGGCATCCTCCTATAATAGTTAGCAGTACTGAACAAGCGAGTCATAGGTCGGGGGAAAGAAAATGTCTAAAATAAAATAAAAAAAAGGACATCGCTCTAATCCTTGAGAACTTCCTTGATGATTTAGCAATTGAGAGACGGTTGTGACAAGTAAGAAAGTGGGCCACCCGGGAACTGGAAGATAAAAAGAGTTCCTTTTGGCTTATATAATAATATTTTTATAAATAACTAAACTCTAACTGGGCAGACCCTTAATCACTTCTAGTGGACTATGCATAGGACTACCCACGGAGCGGTGAAAAGACAGATAGTCTTCCTATTGATTCTAAGGGAGAACGAAGGACGGAGTGGAGGATGGAGGCGGATCGGTTGGAATACGGGCTAGCCGGCCGGGAGGTTCGATTCCTCCCCGATTCCTATTTACTCGATCCATTGTTCGTGCAATCTTAAGGTTCATAGTCCTTTAGCTCTTATTACAGTGGTTGACAGTGGCTTATGAAAGTGGTACCCCTTTCTTTACTTTAAACAGTGGTTTACACAGGTTGAATGATACAAGCAGGAAGAAAACAACAGGAAGAACCAGAGCGGGTGTAGATGCTCGTGAAGGAACGGGAGCTGAAGCAACAGGAATTGGTCAACGAGTAGGAAGACTTGGAAATTATTTTGAAAAAGGTGGCTAACACTAATATGCCTATCCACTACTATGGTGGTCATCATCGTTATGGCATGCACTGTGGCATGTTCTATGGTGCCTAGCCTATGCTGCTAGCCAACTACAGATCGATAGTGATATTCTGATGCTATGCAGTTACGGATGCTCGTAATAGATATTATGATCTTTGTTATCGGGAGTAAGATCCAGAATTAACTTCAAGTAGGGATCCTAGTGCTAGTTATCGGGGTTCTGTCTTTCGTGATCGTTAGGAAGAGCCGGATGCTAGTGATCTATATTTTTATGTTTGGGATCGAAAGATTCTGATGTTCGTAAGCGAGACCCAGATCCTCCAGTAGCACCAGCAACAGCAAATAAGCTACAACCTGATCTTGACCCTGACAAAACGGAATTCAAAGTTGAAGAAAAGTAATGGTTGAAGAACCTCGTCTCACATCTCTTCCTGGCCAAGGTGGCAAAAGCACAACTCCGTCCAGTATCTTTCCCTGTTCCGATATAGCAAAATATCCCACCCAGTAGAAGTGTGGATGGACCTACGTGGATAAGGGAATGTCCCACCATCATATAGTCCAATTCCTTTCCAGTGCCAGCATTCCAGTGTACGCATATCTAGGCGTAGTTACAGTAGATGACCTTGTTGATCCGGGACCAGAGCCTGTTGACTAAGTAGCAGATAGACCCTCGGAGGGGACGCCCGCAGCAGAGTCAGCAGAGAGAGCAGGGGCAGGAACATAACAAGCTCCATAGCCGGTTGTTAACCTAATAGCATGATGGGCATAGATAGTACCATAGGTTGGTTCCAGATCGAGCTATTAAAGCACCTGACGGAACGGAACCTAAAATCTGGTAGAGGAAAAGGCAGGAGTCTATTTAGTAGACTTAGTTGCGTATGTTTAGTAAAGAACAGCCCCGTGAAGCTACGGGCTTTCCCTCTGTCTGGCGCGCATCCTTCCCTTCCCTCCTTTCTATCATTAGAAGCAAAGAAAGGCAGGAGCTGGTTTTTAGTCCCAAGTAACATATTGAGTAGCTTTTATAACCAGCATCTAAGTAACTTCCAGATCTATAGTCACCATCAGTGTTAGATCCTCTAGGTGCAGGGGAAGCAAGCACCTAAATTGGTGCCTATTCCTTTCCAGCTCCTCTAGTAAAGAAAGGATCACCTCCGCCCAATAGAGCCTAGCCCGAGAGAGGACTTCTCCAGTGTGGATCGAAATGGTCTCGCGAAGCCGGTCCCCGGTCAGCCAACCGAAGACTCTCAGAAAAAACAACCTTGACATTACCTCAGAATCAGAGATCAAGAGAGAACTAGTGATCAATAATGACTCGATCCCTAACTGACAGATTCGATGACGAGAGTTTCAGATTCAGGAATCGAAAAATTCGTGACTATAGATAAGAATTCGGATATGCTGAAAATCTTAGTCTGAGTATGCCGGGTATGTCTTTGCCCAGTGGATTGTAGAATCAATAGAGCTCGTGGTTGATCTTCCAAATCCCGATCCGCTTCTTCCCCTTTTTCATTGTATTAAACCGGACGCTAGCCCATTATATGAGAACCTGTCGATGGTTTAGCTGCGGAGATCCTTCACCTTTTCCATTGGTCTTTGCTCCAAGCTTGAACAAGGGCTTTCTCTCTTCTTGAGTGGCTTGAAGCTACAACAATCAAGGCTGGGCCTTTTATTGCTCTTCTCTTGTCCCCTCGGGCTTATTATATTAAATTAAGGCAAGCGGTGGAACTGGAAAATTATCAATGCTTTTCTCCCTGTCTTTCCACTCATATAATTAAAAAATAATTAATCTCGGATACGTCTTATTCTGTGATCCATTTAATGAATCATTAGAGTGTGCGTTGCGTGAGGAGTTAAGGGCTATTCCAGTCGATTGATCCTCCGCTTCTGGCCGTCTCGCTCCCATCGCTTTGTTGGCTGACAGCCCCTATCGCTAATCAGAGAGAGGTAGCGAATCTAATGTTGTGGCGGCCTTGAGCTCTTCTTCTTTTCGCCCTCTTCTCTTTTCCGCAGCTATTCCATCTGGTGGTATACTAGAGTCTGCCTAAAGGCTGCTCTTCTGCCTGACCCTTAAGTAAGGGCGGTGGAACTCTTATACTTCCTTTATCCGCTATCGCTATGTCATAAAGTTGGGTAAGCAGTAGAACTCGTTGCCCTTTCTTCCACGCTAGAAGTGAAAGCCCAGCCAAGTTCTTGGAGAATATATAGTTTCTGGTGTTGGGCGAGATGGGGAGAAAACTCCACTCCTTGCTTCAGCCCTTCTTCTCCCACAGACAGACCTGGGTGGGATCTCTACTCGAATAGAAGGCGCGAATTCATCGATGCTATGACAGCCCTTCCTTGCCTAACGGAAACTGTTTTCTCAGGTCGAGTTGAGGGCTTGAGCTTCTATGATTCCTGTATTGTAGCTTTTGCGCCGCTGTCTTATTTCTTTAACAAAAAGAAAGGCCAGTTCTTGTCTAATCGATAGTGGCTCGTTCCTCTGATTATGGTTGAGCTGCCACTGATTGACTAACCTCAGTCAAGATCTCTGATCCCTACGACATGATCTCAGGTTCTTCCTCAGCCCCTTTCTTCTGTCTTTGACTTTGTGATTTTTCTGTCCTAGGTAGGCTTCTCTTCTCGCTACTCCAGTCTAGTGGGGAAGGTCTGTTGGATTGTGGTGTTATGACTAATTAATAAATAGTGTATATAAAAGTGATGATATGATGCCCAGGCTAGGAACTGCTGTTATTCATAGTAGGGTGTTGTTCCCTTTCCCGAAATAAAGAGAAAGATCCCGAGAAAAAAGAAGTAGGCTTCGGTTCAATCTGGGATCGAACTATCCTCTTTTCTTTGGCTGTGTCAAGCCAGTTCTCTGATCCGAGGGGGACTCTTGTGAAGTAAAGAAAGTTTCCAGGAGGGATCGAACCGAACTCCCACTCCAAGCTTTGGCATATGTAATATTTTATTTTAGCTAGTCTTATGAGACTAGATTTGCTTTATAGAGTACAAGAGCTTTCCCTATCAGCTGTAACTAGATAAGAAAGAAGAAGTCCTGCTTTGCTTATTCTAAATAAATATAAAGTCTAAATTGAAGACTTTAATTTATTTATATAATAAGGATTGCCAACAAAGCCTTTTTTTTGTTTGGGTCCAGGGCTTCTTTGTTTCGGACAAGAGTGTCCAGCACGCAAGGGGAAATAGAATGCCCAAGGAAGATTAGCATGGGCAGAAGTGATATTTTATTGGATTCCATTCTTGAGCTACTCACGAAGTCCATGGTTAGGCTTGTTCAGATCAGAGGGGAGGCCATAATTTAGTAGCTTTAGGGCAGGTTATGAGGACATGGTCGGTGCTTTCATTGATTCCTTGGCACCAACAGGATCCCTGACTAATGTGCCGAGTGTGGAGAAGGGCTAGACGATCATGGGCACAAAGCCAGAGGAAGTCGTTCACTCTAGGAGTAGTTTGGGAAAATCCACTTCCAGTCACTCGATTGGAGTCTTTGCTGAGAGTCTTGATGAGCATGGTAAGCATGTTTGCTTTTGAAGTTACCCTTGGGATCCGTCCTCCCTCTTTCTTCTTTTCCTTCCTGACGTGAACGACCACTATTTATACTAGATTGTGGGGGTATCGTGAGTGCGGAGCCTGGGGAGTACGAATTCAGTGCCATTCCGAAGAGATGGTGATAGGGAAGCAAGATATGTTAAGTATAGAGAGTAAGCCGGACCAAAATCTTACTGTTTGTTTTTCGCTACGCTCCTGGTGAAAGCGTAATTCGGTACGGTAGAATGGTCTTGGCTTCTTTTCTCGATCTTCTTTCGAAAACTAGGATCAGTCATGGCAAACTCCGGTTGCAATTTGTCAATAAGAAGCTGCATTTGAGGTGGAAGTCAGACTTCTGTGCTGTATGACGAGGAAGACGTGGGTCACTCTTCAGCAGACCCCGCCATTCGATCAAGGGCTTTCCTACACAAGTGGCCTCAACAAAGAGTTGAACCTTGTTTTCGGGGAGCTGGAGCTCAGCTGGTTAGAGCAAAGGACTGAAAATCCTTTGTGGTTCGATTCCACTCCGAGTGAATAAGTTCCAGGAAAGGCGGGATGCTAATCAAATTACTCGATGAAGACTCACTTTCCAGTGAACCTACGCCTGGTTTGAAGCTGTGTATTAGGGTAGGGATTTACTTTATCTACCGTCTGACTAGAAGGTAGGACATTCTTGTCTATTTACGACTGTGATTTCTGCCTAGCTTGCTCAGTTAAGTATACTTTAGGTTCAAGCAAGGGGTCAGTAGGAATCTGACTCCACATCGTTAACAAGCCTGTGATCTTTTAGCGTAGAAAGAAGTGAATGGCGTGGCAGTGAGGACTTTACTTCAGCATAGAATATGAATGATTTGGCTATCCTATCCTTTCACTAAGATGCTTTCGTCCCTCGCTTCATTCTTTCCTATGATATCCCCAAGAGCTGAGTCAATAGCACCTGGGGGTATGCCCTTAACAAACAGTGGATAGGCAAACAAAGTCAAGCAGTAAAGGAAGAAGGTATTGCATTGGAAGAATGCCCGGGCCTTGACTTACCTTGCCCCGAGAGAAACCATAGGATAAAGTCAGCGTGCAAGAGCTAGAGAATCCCGGGGTATAGTGAGAGACCTGGTGCAAGCTTTTAGAGTATGGCTATCAGTCCCAAGTTTAAGCTAATCACTCGTAAGGTTATGTAGTCCGCCTATAGCCCAGCCTTTAAGCATCAACAGAAGATCCAACATGATAGTCGTTCTCTGTATCCAAATGCTAGAGTAGGAGAGGAGTAAGCTAACCTTATCCAACCTTTGTATCTGTAAATCCCTATATAGCCTACCAGCGTTGTACCCTTTTGCGAGCAAGTCAGCCTCTATTTATTAAACCCTTTCTAGAGTCACCAGCTAATCCAAAAATACCTGGTGCGTAAGCAAGCTACCCTTTAGTAGTCAGCAACCCCCCTAAGCCTTGTTTTTAGGAGTAACCTGGGATCTTTTTAAGCTCGTTATAGGAAGACGCGCTATATGAGTAATCTATCCTAGTAGACATTATACTAGGAAGCTCCTGAGTCAACCTCTAATCTATAAGCCAGTCAGCGGGATAGATGAATATGAACTTCTCTAAGAGAACAGTTCAACGGGTTTAATTGAATTCCGTTATCTGATCAGATTAGATATTCTCTAAGACTGTATAAGAGAGACCTAACTAACTGGATTGCTAGCAGTGATCATACCCGATGATGTGAACCCGATTGAATCAGCTCTTGTGATCATATCCCATGCTATCAATGGGAGTGAAGTCCGCCTATCCATCAACATAAAAGTGAAAGGAGCCCGCTAACTACTGCACTTCCTAATGTGATATTGAGTTTTGCCTAAACTTGCCCGCCCATACTCTTAACTTTTCGCTTAAGCTCTCAGACTAGAGCTATTTTCACTAAACCGAAAATTCTAATATACCCATCTCTCCTCTCTCCTCAATGGCTAAATACCAAAGCTAACCTTAAATGGGTTAAAGACCGAGCCAGAACAGGAGCTTAGCCTCAATCTTAGATAGGAGATTCCCCATAACAACTCAACTACGTCGAGCCTTGCCTTGAACAAGCCAATCAACCTCAATCCTAGGAAATGATTTCAGGTGAAGCTCACCCCTCTTGTTCTCATCTTAAGGGAAGGCCCAGGCGCAGAAGGAAGACTCTTTGATCGGGTAGTTCCTATTCTCAGTCATCTTAGGTGCGGTTGGCCAATTAATTAACTAAATTTATAGCACGAGCCCCACTCATACAAGTAGGGGAAAACTCTAGTTCAACTGTTTTTTTATTCAGATTCAGAATTGGCTGGGGCCTTAACCGTAGCTTTAGGGCCAAAAGCCTATCTATGGCCTTTTGGCTGGGGGTAGCTATGGCAAGGGTAGTTTCCTCGGAAAAAGGAGGGGAAGCCCCGACTTTCCAATAAGGCCCCGGGGAATGAAAACACTCAACCGATGGGGGGAGGAATAAACAGCAACTCTAGGGGATAAATGTGGATATCCAGTGGCAACTGAGCAGGAGCAGCTCTACCCGCACATAGCTAAATATCCCCCATCCACGCCACCCAGTTGGTGAGCTCCGCCCTTAAGGTAGCCCATCCGTCGGTCGACCAATATTGGATAGTCAACTAGCGCACAGGGTAACTCGAATATCAAATATAAGAATAGCAGCCCCGGTCTCAAAAACAAGCAAGGAAACAGCAGTCAATTAGAAAGAGAAGTTGAAGTTAGCTTTCAGCTGTTCAACCACTAAAGACTAAAGTGGGTGAAGCATAGTTTCGTCCGTCCCTCTCGCTTTCAGCGCGGGATAGAGTTATCAGTACGTGCGACACCAACTCTTTCGTTTTCACTTATTTTTTATACATATATAGATCTATTCCTACCATATTTCGTTACTTTATCCCGAAAAAGGGGAGCTGCTGGGCTCCTTCCTGTTTTATTAGCATCAAACCCACTCAACAGGATATTCCATAAGCACTCCGGAAGGTATAGTGTGAAGGAAAGTAGGTACCTTACATGAGAGTTTGCGAACACGGGGGGCTTATGCTCCTGCTGCTCATATGGAACAGGTTGGCCCCCAAAAAGCCCCAAGGGAACGAGCGAAAGGGCTGCTTGCTGGAACAGCAGATCGAGCAGCCTATTATTTATTACATTTCTTCCCCAACTATTCCAAAAAGGGTAACAAATGGGTCTAATTCTGAGACAAAAGTAATTTAACATCCCTGATTCGGAAACTGCTGCAGTGGGAACTCTACTTGCCATTCCTCCTTCCGAAGTTAAAGTTTTCATTCTCCCCTTGGCCCAGCTGAAAAGCCTAACCCCAGGTGAAGTACCAGATTATGAAGTTAAAGTCAGGAATTGCCCTGTCTGATTCGTAAAGCTTTCGGAGAAGGAGGGGAGATCCGCGGAGGTAGAATTCTGAATACGGGTACGAAGGGTCATCCAGAAGCGCTGGAAGGGGGGCTGGAGGAAGGGGACGAACCACATCGATTGAGTTATATCCGGCAGGCTAACACCCACGTACCTAGAAAGGAAGGGGAAAGTCTTACCTTTTGGAAACATAAGGCGCATCAGAAAGGAATCCGGATATATTTAGATAGCCAGATTCACGAGCTGAGGACTAACTAAGTCGAAGTGAAAGTCTGTGCCATTGTTAGTGCCAAGACCTTAGAATAGTGAACACCAAGTGAAGAGCCACCCTCCGGGAACATCGAGAAGGGGGACGAACAGCTTTGATTGGATCCGATCTGGTAGACAGAGACGAAGACAAGGATGAATAATCTGAAGAAGGCTATGCCGAATCCGAGGGAAGAAGAAGACTACGAAGAAGGAAGCCGATTCCTAGGCCGAGGCTGGTGCCTAATTCTATGCTTTAAACCTAAGCTAGAGCTGGAGCTGAAGCCTAATTATAAGTTTCATCTAAAGCTGAAGTTAGGGCTGGAGCCTGAGTTGGTGTTGATGTCCTAGAGTAGCGAAACTACAAGTGAAGGGGCGCTATCCGGAACCCTTAAGGTTGTGGAGACGAAATGGAATCCTATAAGAATGTCGAGTCCCAAGGGTCTGCAAGAGGCTGAGCTAACAAGATGGCTTAATATATCATGGGGATGCCCGATTTGCAATTGAGCTAGCCGATAAGTATGATCTCTCCGGTCTGGCATGAGCCACTCCATTCCTACTTCCACTCAACAAAAAAGATAGGATTCTTGGGCTCTACCTCCAGAGTGCGTACGGCTATTTCAGACCAAAGGGGGCCAAGGGGGATCCCATAAATAATAAGTAAGAGAAGTAACCCGGGCTATGAGCTATTTCGTCGTTTTATTGCCGGAGTTCGATAGCCGTTCAATCTGATCTTCCCTTTGCATGGCAGAAGAGGGCGGCTCGAGACTACTCTTTCAATTCTAAATGAAAGGCAAGCAGGAATTGAACCCACTAATGGGCCAGCTGCATAATCACGTATGTAAGCAAGTGATCCTCTTCTTTCGCAGGAAGCATTACTCATTTATTCAGAGTTGAAGAAAAGGCTACCGATTTCACACTGACTATTATGTAAGGGCTTGACCCTTGGATGAGAAATTCATTGCCAAGTTAGTCCGTAGTACGAAGCTTTCAATTCAAGCACCTTTTTTATATACTAAAGGCCAAAGGGAAGTTGAAGCCCAACATCCCGTGGTCGGGATGGACACCGGTCTGGCTCGCACCTACATGGACTTCAAATTTACTTCTGATCGTAACTTTTTATTTTAAACCCGGTTCCTCTTGCTGCCCATGAGTACGTCCGGGGTACAGGTTCACTTTACCTGCTCAATCTCCTAAAGGCGGGGACGGGGGCTGGTTTCCCTGAGTAGGAGGTATCTTAGAATGGTCAGTCGGGTGACTGATCTTGAGTTCAACTCCTCCCCAAGAATATTGGAATATAACATTAACCCCCATAGATATAGCAATCCTTTCGATGGATAAACAAGGCTAGAATAAGATAGATGAGGAAGAGCCCTTGGATACAAAGGAGAACCACAAAAAAATAAAACACCTTGTTGTTCTCTGTAAAAAATATGACCCAATGCGCTATTGTTTCCAACATATTGGAAATTGGAAATTAATTTTTGAGAAATTAAAATGTTATATTATAACTCCCTCCAGTACGTCAGGAAACACATGGCTCTTCCAACTTCAAATTACTATATACGCACGCTGTTCGACTGAACTCGTTCGCGTTTTGGCTCCGCGTTCATGAAATTCCAACACCAACAACAGAAAAAAAATGCTTCGATCGGGCGTATGGAATTCATTTCTCTCTAGTACTGAGGATAGAAGAGGAAGGGGAATCCATCAAGGACTGATTTATCTTTGATTGATTGAAGGTCCTCGCCTAGCCTCTTAATAAGTTAAGGTCCCATTTCCTTTTCTTGATCTAATCCCTTCTTATTAAGATCGGTTAATCGTCTTTGCAGTGAGTGTTCGGGAAATACTTTTTTGCTTGAGCCATTCTGTAATCATTCCATACCTTCTACATTCTTAGTCTTCGCTATACGAAAAAAGGGGATTGGACTACTTATATATAAGACTGGAAGGCTGCAACTGGAGGCAATTGGACGAAAGTTGGTAAATAAATTCCATGCCTTAAGCATAGTAAAGTCACACATCCACTAAATGCAATAAAAATAAGGACGAAAAAGCAAATTTCTTACTCCCTTGCAGGCAAAAGAAAGAACGCATACCAATGCCTTATCTCGGCCTAAGGATAAGGAGTGTTTTCTGGGATGCTAAAGAAAAGAGATGGCTAAGGGGCGTAGCGGGAAGTCAAGCAGGAAAGTCATCAGTGACGGCGTATTCTCTACCCGACAAGAGCTATGTTGATGCCCCCTACCAAGGGGTAACTTCCCGGTTCATAAGCCCTTCCCTTCCATTATTCAATCCATCCATGACATTGTTTATATAACAAAACCCACTTGACCTTCCCACTTGCCTGTAGAATCAGAAAAGCAAGCTCAAATCCCTTTCGAATCTTTCCTTTGGTTGCCTGCCTCCCCATTCCCGCTACTAACACTAAGTGAAGTCAGACGATTCCCTCTATATTTATGGTAAAAAAGACCCCGTGGCTCTTCTAGCGAGGAGAAAGCAACTAGAACTAGGCACTGAAAGCAGATTAATTCCAGAAGGAATAGAGGGGACAAGGAAGTAGTACAGACAGTTGATAAGGTGCAACCTTGTGCCCAGAACCAGGCTGGACATGGTCCTTCAGTGCAAGGTGGCACAAAAAAAGAGACCTCTTATAATAAGATTTTGTCTGGTTCTCGTTTTGCTCCTTTGCTGGATTTTGAGTGACTAGTTGATCAAACCAGTTTATGATGGAGTTTCCTCCTCCTAATCATGATGAAATGGCATTTGTGGTTATAGCCATCCAGTGCTCCCAAAGAAATGTGCTTACTCATCATCCCCGGCCTTGATAGATCACCTAGTGCATGAACAGTCCTGTGGCCTGGTGGCTTTGTCATATCGAAATGATAAGCATATTTTGGGGGTTGAAGCTTTCAAGTAGGACATCTGTGTTATGGGCCTAATAGCTTAAACAATTGTTCGTACGAGATTTGAATGGAACTTGTGTTTGAATATTCAATGTTTAGATGCTTCGGGGAAGGCTTTCAATAACAACCGCGCACAAAAGCTACTGCATGACCAAGACCCCTTGACCCCGAGGCATATCTTGAACTCTTTGATTTTCAACTACTCCGAATTCGGCGATGAACTCAGATTTCGCCCTGGTATGTCCTGGATGCCCCACCAGGGAATCTTGGGGGACTCCTGCTTCTGTCTTCCTCTTTCTGGCATATGGTGGAAATGTTATCTCAATCGATAAATTTATTCTACTCTATGACTACTAAAAGCTTAACCATGCCCTACCATTTGAAAACGGGAAAGCAAAAGCACAGAAAGACGAGTGAAAAGCAATCCCAAAGTTCAAAATATGCACTCACAAGAAGTTATGAATTTGGACATTATAGGTCATTTTGAAAAGTCAACAAAAACACTTTTTTTGTCAAAGCTTCATACATGAACATGGAATACCAAATTGAGATGAGACCAAAAGGGTTGCTTATAGGACATCTCAAGATTTCTAAAAAGCCCAAGAACACCTTCAAAGAGTCAAAATTGAGGAAGTTATTCATTGGTGAAGTTGACCCTTTTTGTAAAATGGTCAAAAGTCAACTATGCCTAAAATTGCAATTTTTGCCAAATGGGCCTAACTTTTTGCACTTGTTTTGAGTTGGTAGCATGGTCCACGAGCCCTAGCTATTTCCAATTGACATTATCTTATTTTAATTATTTATTTTGATTTTATTTGAATTAAATCAATTTAAATCAAAACAAATCATGGAAAAATCCAAAACATTGAAATCTCAAGATATTGTGCATGTTTCAGGTCTTATATCCAGTTGGCAAAAGATTGAATTCGAGCAAAGCCTTGGTGTGCACAAAAAGATTGAGTTTGGCCTATTTTTACAAAGGTTTTCAAGTGAATCAAATCCACATCAAAATCAATAATGGAGAAAGATTGAGATCATGTTTGCAACCCTAATACAATCCTCCATACATAAGGAACATTTGCAGACAAAAAGAAAGAGGGGAGAGAGGCGCAAGAACAAGAACCAAACTTGAAAAAAATCACAAAAAGTGGTGATTCATTTTTCTATTTCTAGACATTTTCCACATTCTCTAGCCATCCCAATCGCTTCCTGAGATCACAAGCAAGCGAAACCAATCAAGAACAAGGAGTTTCCAGCCCTATAACTCACTGTAAGTCAGCCACGGCCTTAGGTTATTTTTGAAATCGAATTGTGTAATTTTGGCACTTATAGCATGAAATAATCATATATTATTGATCCTTGGAACATCTGCAAACTATTTGCAACATTTAATTGCATTTTCATGAACTGTATTAGAGTTTGCCATTGTTAGGGTTTGTTGCTTCGATTTGGGATCTTTGTGCACAAGTGAAATTGGGCCATGAAAGGGGCACCATCATGCCCAGCAGGTCCGGACGAATTGATTCATGGCCTTAGAATTTATTTATCTTGCTTGTGCTTGATTTTGAGAAATTGCAGGGGTTGTAGCGACGGACGTTGTCCGTAGGTAAAGGTCTTCGTACCTTTTAGCCACAGAGAGAGGATAGGGATGAAGGCGTGGCATATTCCCATTCGTCCATTTAAAATTTAGCGTGCAGGGAACTAATAAAGTTGTGTTATTTTTATAATATTTGTTTGTTTCTTTACATACAACTAATACGCGCAACACAGTTGGTAGTGAAACGTTTGGAAAGTGCTTTGGGGCCTAGGTTCGAATCCCAGGTCCCCCAATTATTTCATATGTTTTTTCTTTCAGTGATCACATGCGTGCACAGGTGGGATGGCCACCATGGTCCATCATGATCCAGCTAGCCAAATGTCCAGATGACCAGATCTAAGGGCCATAAGATGAAGGAGCACCAAAGACCTAGGTCAAAGCAAAGCATGGGATTCAAAAGGTCAACGTGGACCTTATTTTCTTGGGCCAGATTTTCTATCCACACACCCCAAATCACTCACAACTAGGCCCAATATCTCTTTATCTTTTCTTTTTATATTTTATTTTTATTTAATTTATTTATTTGTTTTTACTAACAACTTAATTTTTTCTTTTATTAAAAAAATCACAAAAAATAATATTTCATCCAATTAGATTTAGGTTTTTTTTATTTTATCAAAAAAATTATTTAATTTAATTAGGTTATTTAATTTTAGGGTAATTTTAATTCCTTTTGTAAAAAATTAAAATTAATTAGAACAATTAGGGTTTTAACTTAATTATATTTTCTTTTTCTTAAAATAACCAAAAACACAAAAATAGGTTAAGTTTAATTATTTTCTTTAATTAATTTAATTAACTAATTAATTTTGTATTTTATTTTTAAAAAAAACCTAATTCTTTTTCTTAAAAATAATTAAAAACAACAAAAACAATTTTTTCTTCCAATTAGGTTAGACGGGGTCAAAACCCTAATTTCTTATCGTTCTTAATTTCCTCACGCGCGCTTTATTATTTATTTTTACCATATTGATGTAATTGCTCACAAGTTGTAATAGATTAATTAGGACCTTTTAATTTCATTTATCGCTTTTTTTAAGGGTTTGTTTTTGGCTATGTAAATACCAGAAGCCTTGTAATAGCGTAGCTTTACTTTCGGCATTTTAAATTCCGCAAATATTAAACTGTTAGATGTATGGTAATAGGGATGCATGACAAGAATGTATGATTAACTTTAAAACGGTTAGCAAACCCTAAATGTGCAAAGATAAATAACTTGAAATTGAATCACTCGCACATGCGCACTCCTAGGGTACACTCCCACTTCGGTTGCTTTTGGTAAACGGTTATTAAGTATAGTATATTTTAGTGGTCACTCTCTTGTCCAAAAGATCAAAGTTTCCTCGGAAAGGTTGCCTCAGAATTGTTGCCTCGAATATGACCTTAAGACATTAGAGTTATTACTAAGACGTCCTAACATTGCTTTAGTGACCGTACGTCCCTTTCGAATTGACCCTCAAAACTCCGACGATGGTGCTACCTACTCGCTAATAGTAGGATAGCGCTGTCTAAAGGAAACAAACATAGAATAATTCTTTTTTCGAGTAGGTAGATTAGCTCTTAAGTACTCGCTCAAAACAAACAAACTTTTCCACACATACACTTCTTTCAAAACAAAGTTTTCAAAAACACTTCGTAACACTCTTGAAGACAGAAGCAAGGGTTAAATCGAAGTAAAACAAAAACTTTTCAAATCACAAAAACACACAAAGAAGCAATTTTGAAAATGATGAGCAAGTATCTAAGAGCCCGTAGATAACTACGGATAGAAAGAGTGCTAATACCTTCCCTTTCTATAATCTACCCCCTTACTCAAAATCTTGAAAAAGGAATTTTTCTGTGCTTTTTTCCTTTCCAGTTGGATAAAATAAAATTCGGTGGCGACTCTTTCTTACCGTGATATTTGTGAACAAAAAAACGCAAACTAGTAAAAACAGTCGGTTCTTGCCACCGTATCATAGATACCAACATTCCTCAGCAGATTCCTCCTCAACGACAGGAGCAGGGACTCTCATCGAAGGAATGTCTCAGGAAATCAACATCCTCTAGATGGCATCTTTAAGCCCATCTCCAACGGTACTCCATCACATCTTGGATGGCATCTTTAAGCCCATCTCTGAAAATTCTCTAGAAACTTCAAAATGGAATCTATAATCCAATTCCCGATATCACAAATCAAGTATCACTTCATGAGAGTGCAAATTTCTGGGCACTCTAGTGTTCAATCATCTTCCACCTTCAGATCACGAAAGGCAGACGAGCCAATCTACATCCTCAGGTTTAAGAAGATTGAACAGGGGAAGCTGTTGTACCCAAAAATTTGCTCTCTCATTTTACTCAAAACATACTCATTGAAGTCCTCAACTTGCTCAAGGATGCCCAAGAGTTGACCAGACAAACTCTCTCTTAAGGCAATGTACCTCAAACTAGGGTTTCCATTTTTATCAAGATGTGTGAACTCCAAAGGCCCCAAATTCTTTCCATGGTCCCAATATGTTCTCAAGATCATCCATGTCAAGTTTCATGCCTTGCACAAGAAGTTTGCTCAGTCAACTGCTCAGATGCCTGAAAATTAACTATACTAGGTTAAAAGTCAACTATGGCCCACATACAGTCAAACTTCAAGATTTTTGGTCAACATAAACATGTTGAATTTATATCCATCATTTTATCAATGGTTGATCATTATTCCTCAAGGAATACCCCAAATTCATCAAAACCCAAAAGTTGCTAAATTAGGGTTTCATAGAAAAAGTCAACCAAACTTTGACTAGGAATAACTTCTTCATACTTTATCAGAAATTTTCCATCCAATGCCCATTTTGAAGAGGATGAAATTCCCTACAACTCATATTCATCCCACAAGTTCAAAATATGCACTCATCAAAAGATATGAATTTCTACATTATAGGTCCTTTTGAAAAGTCAACAAAAACACCTTTTGGGTAAAAGCTTCTTACACGAACATGGAAGACCAAATTGATATGAAACCAAAAGGGTTGTTTAGGGGACATCCTAAGCTTTCTAAAAAGTCCAAGAACACCTTCCTAGGGTCAAAATTGAAGGAGATATGTATTGATCAAAATGACTTTTTTTTCTAAATGGGCCCATGTTTTCTTGTTTTAAACTTGTTCCTGAGATGGTCCACGACCCCTGATATTATCCACCTATCATTTTATTATTTTTATTATTTATTTTGATTT